AGTTGGTACGGCGTCTAGCCGTTTTTTAATTTTTTCCTTTTCACGGGCTCGAACCCGCAACCTCTGTACTACTTGCCTGATACGGACACATCATATCTACTGTACAATCAGATTAGATAGGACGGCAGTGCGTGGCACAGCTCGGGCTCCGCTGACACAGCCTCTCTGACTCACCGGCCCCCGGGGCCGCGTCAGCATGCTGCGCACGGACCAGCTGCGCACGGACCAACGCGCACAGCCTGCCCTTATCTCCCCATGTATATAAGACGGCCTCTGCTGCCCTAGGGACCTCAGTTTCGACCTCTTGTCCCTAGGTCAGTAAGCTCCTGTATTCTCTTACTTACCTTACAACTAACTAATACATTTCTTGTCCCTAGCCTTAGGTTCGAGCACTGCTCACCATCGCTTCGGTGAGAACTAGTCGAACGCCCCCAGCCTTCTAGGTTTTCCCCTGTCGCTTGACCTCAAGTCGCGACATTAGGTCGAAACTCCCAAAGCTGCCGGCGTTCCCTCGGGACCCCTTATATTCACTTTCCTTTCCCACAGGTCGGGTGGTGCGCACCCCTACGGTACATTACGATACGTAGATAGCATACATTACATCACCAACACTTAGGGAACGAACCTTTCAGCACCTGCACTTCAGTGGGCGGTGCTTGTCCTTAACCGGACGCGTGGACTAGGTTCCTGCTGCATACTAGCCAAAAGCAGTACTGGGCCCCACGTGAATCGCGAACCCTAGTGTCATCTCGGGCGCCGTAGGTGTAAGCTAGTCTACCACGGCCTTTCGTAGTACGCGCACCTTCCCGTCCTCCCCCCATTCATCGTGGCTGCCTGCCAAGGCCAGATCCACGCATTCGACTCCCAGGACCTCATCGACGTCTACATCCCAGACGGCCCTGAGACTGTCCTCTACCGTTGCGAGCAGCAGCCGTGCCCAAATCGGACACCCCGATCGATCGAGGAAGATTACCCTCGTTACAAGGCGATCTGACGAGCGCAACACCCGCTTGGACCCCGAAGCACCCTCGCATCTCGATCTGCCTCGCGGCACTCTCGCCCTGTCTCCCCTACCTCCCGCCTTCCCCAAACTGTCGCCGAGTCCAGTCAAGCTCGAGGAGATCTCCCTCCAGACCCTGCGCCAGAGCTTGAGCCTGAGGAGGGTAACAGTGAAGAAGGAGTCT